TATATATATATTTCTAACATGTTACTTTTCATGGGTACATATTCTATGGGAAAAAAAGTAAATTAATGTATGTCTAAAATGAAATTAAAGTAACTAATTGATCCAACAATTTTACGTCTAATATTTAAGGGCACGTAAGTTTTGTTTTTTAAAAAAAATTAGAAACATTAATGATAATTCATATTGAGATGACATGATTTTAGACTTTAAAAAGCAATTGGGACGTTCTATTTTCTTTTAATAATAAGGACGTAGATTTTGAAGTATATTAAAAAAAAAAACTATCCATTTTTATTGTCAAAAATATTAAGAAATAATCAAATGATAATCTTTCTTTTTTTTTTGGACAATAAATGTAAAATATTATCATAAACAAAACAAAGAATACACCTAAAGAGCACCATATACTTTAACCACCTTCCATGAAGAGTGTCAATAGTATAAGGCCTCCAAGCAACAGAAACTAGCTATAAATTCTCTGTATGAACAACCTATATCTACGTGCCCTATGTGCTCCTTGTAACATATCTATTGTTTCCCTAATTTCCTCTTTAATCAGTTGTATAACAAACACCTTATTCACACGATTGTCTCTGAAGATTTTTCAATTCCTCGTTGTCCGGGTATGATAAACAGTAGCCCCTAGTGCAGTTGTGAGGACCTCCTTTTGAAATAGTTTCCAATGATTTCTCCTAATTCTCATAATGCTTTGCATTACTTCCCCTCGTAAAATGCCTAGCCCAATCTAGCTTGATATATCTTCCCAGATAGTAGTAGCCCATGGACAAGCCCCAAACATATCTTGTGTTGTTTCCAGTTCACCAGTGTCACATAAACAGCAAGTGATGTCTTCACATGCAATCCCCATCTTAGTCATTCTCTCCTTGGTAAGCATTTCCCGTTGTACTGCTAACCACAACATAAAATTATGCTTTGGCCTCAACACTCTACTCCATATAACTCTGATCCTACCACGATAGGTCGTACACCTAGCAGAGCGAAGAAGCTAAGTGTGACAGAGTATTGTCCATTTCCTGACAAAGAATATTTTTCATTTATGTACCAATATGCCATTTCTCGCTTGACTTTATGCAACTTTTTCCAATACCAACTTCATTCAACAGGAGTGTATTCCCAGATATCATGATCATTTTTCATATCAACCCCATGTACTCACGTAATCCATAGTTGTGGATGGAGAACAATACTAAATTGATAACTTGCAGCCGGCCATCTTATGATAGATGTCTAGCAGAGGCAGACTTGATTTTTTTTTATGACCGAGAAATCCGTCTGGGGCCGATCCTTTGGACCAACCGCAGCCTTCGAAACTCGGTGGATTTTGGCAGTGATTTTATCAATTAACTGCAAGCAGTCCAATTTATTCCATTTTTTTGGAGAGAGTGGGAGTGCCAAATATCTCATTAGAAACACTTGTGCTAAAAAGCCAGTTCTCGCAATCAGTCTGTCCCCGGTCTCCTCATCTACACCTGCAATGAAGATGTTAGATTTGTCCAAGTTAGCAACAAGACTAGTTGTGATAGTGAAATGTTGAAGTGCCTCCATGACTCTGTTAAATAGAAGATTCATTTCCTTTATAAAGGATCATTAGATCATCTGCAAAAATTAGGTGTGTCAGCCCCAAACTTTTGCACATCTGGAAGCTGGGACATTCAGTTCACACCCTTAAAAAATATTCCATAACCATGACAAATAATAGAGGAGACAGTGGGTCTCCTTGCCTCAAACCTCTTCTTCCTTCAAAATACCCATACCCCTCCCCATTTACCTTCGCTAAAAACTTTGTAGAAGTCACACAATTCATAACTAATTTAACAAATCTTTTAGGAAATCCAAAGCCTTGTAGCATTTCTTCAATAAATTCCCATCTAACTATATTATACGCCTTTCGTAGGTCAAATTTTTATCATACACCTGGGTAAGGTTTTCCTCTTATAATGTCGTAGCAAGTCATGGCATATTAATACATTATGAATCATTGACCTTCCTTGAACAAAAGCAGCTTGTTCTGTCACCACCAATGGCAGAACACCCTGTAACCTCTTGCATAACACCTTGGAGATACACTTGTAAACCACAGTACAACATGAGATTGGCCTGAATTGGCTAGCCTCCACTAGTCTATCAACTTTAGGAATCAATGCTATCATTGTTGCATTAATCTATTTCAAGAGCTTCCCATTTTGGAAAAACTCTAAAACTGCTTCTATGACTTCATTACCAACAATGGTCCATCCGGACCTAGACTTTTGTTGATACAGATTCTGAACATAGCTTTCTTGACTTCCTTCTCAGTAAAAGCTTTCATTAGATTCAATTGTTGTTCTACTTCAAGAATGGGGCCATTTCTCAAGAATCATGTATAAGCAGGTCTTCATGCTCCTCTCACCTCACCTAGTATGTTTTAATAAAATTTATCAAAAACACCTGCTATCACATTAGGATCTGTTTTAGTGATCCCATGTTCATATTGTATCTGTGTAAGCGACTGCTGCAACTTCCTTTATTTGATCACTGAATGAAAATACTTGGTGTTATCATCACCAAGTCTAATCCAAGTAGCCTTACTCTTTTGTAGAGGAAGCTTTTCTGCTAGAATATAGGCTTCCTTGTACCTCAAATATGATATTTTCTTCTCTACCTGAAGACTATG